AACCGGTTTCAGCTCCATTCTTAACTTTTAATAAAGAGGTTCCAGAAGGTTTCATTCTAGGTTGCTAGTATTAGATATAGCTCACTATTTTAACAAACTCCATATTCTTCAAAAACATGGACACGGGCGAGGTGGGGAGTCACCCCCCCACCAGCCATCAGCCTCTAGGTCTTCCTGCCCAGCGGACGGCCGCCATAACATCGTCCTAGAGACCGCCCGCCCCCACCTCCCCCGCGCCCCACCAAAGGAAGCTATTCATACCAACACCCAACGTACTTCTTAATTGCAGAATCCCACCCGTTTGCTATGAGGATGCTCATCTTCCTATTGATTCATAGGGCAATGCCTCTCACATTGTTGATAACATAGCAGAGGCAGAGGCAACCGGGACAAGAGGAAGTACACTGAGTCCCTGTCAGCAGACAGGCCTGAAACTGAGTCTGCGGGTCACCGATGAGGTGCGGTGCACCCCCCAGCCCCACACTGTTTAAGCACAGCCGTCTCCCCGGGGAGAGCTTCGTTGTCGCCCTCACTCACCTTGCTCCTAATCAAGATGCTCACTTCACCAGACTCTATGATGTAAAAGCAATCGGCCTTTTCGCCCTGAAACGGGAAAGGAGGTCAGGCGCACAGCATCGCAGGGGGCACAGAAGTAGGTCATGTGTTGCCGCCTGGGCTCCGGTTTGATTTCCTGGCCAGCGCTACAGTCAGCCCATGGCCAACAAGCCCAGGACAGAGTGAGAGGATCCTGACGGCGCGATGCCAGTCCGATAGAACCTTCCTGACGTGGGACAGACACCGTTCCCTCCGTGCCGATGCCCAGGCCGCCCTGCCCAGGCGCCCGCATGCTCACTGCTCCTGCTGGCTCACCACTGAAACCCGTGCCAAGGGATGGGCAGCCAAGGCTGCTCCAGGCACCAGCACGGGGACTCCTGCCCCAGGCCGTGGAGCCGGGTAACTCTGACCAAGGCAGCCCTGGCTGCGTGGCCGGGGGAGGAAGGAGCTCCGATGTGGCCCCATGTCACCAGAGCCTCAGGCCCTCCTTTGGCTTGTTTGGCTAACCCACTCCACTGAACGAGTCATTCAGGTCGTTCAACAAGTAATTATGGGCTCACGGCGAGCCAGGCCCTGAGCTCGTCCAGGAATGTGAGACACACCAGCAGGCACTGCGAATGTCCCTGCCCTTGTGAGACGTGCAGCTGGTACATGAGCTGTACACAGTCAGCAGAGGAATCATGAATGTGCTGCTGTGGAGGAAGGGGTAAGAGCTACAGGAGAAAGGCGAGCGGGACAGCAGGGCTGCGGAAGGAGGTGGCCACGGGCCGACAGAGCCTCCCGGAGGTGCGGCTGGAGCACAGGCGGGGAGGCAGGGGGAGGCAGGCGAGCAGGTATGGGCCAAGGTAAAGGGCACCACTTTTCGACCTCCCCCAGGCCTGGCAGCCAGGAATGAAGCTGACATCCCAGAGAACAAGACCAGAAGCCAAGGAAAGGCGGGTGGAGGCAACAGATGGGCCTGCCAGCGAGACAGCCATCACTGGCTCCAAGGAGCTGCAGGAAGTGAGCCCGCACCCTGCACCTGCTCCCGAAGGGAGGGGACCACGCTGCCGGCCCTGCCCGCGCTCCACCTCACCTGAGTGATGATGCGCTCCCCGTCCTTAAAGCTCTTCTCTCCGATCACATCCACGATCTTCATTCGCTCCGACACCTGCAACAAGACCACACGTTACCAGGAGCTAACAGCCACACAAGTACCTGCACAGCACAGAAGTGAGTGAGGAGTCTGATTTGAAACCTCAACAACAGAACAGTTTTAACAGCTTCTCAACCCCATGACAGCCTTCCTCACGGGGCCTTTACCTCTAGTGACTTAAGGAGGGGCACAGACTCAAGAAATGCTTCGAACATCTTCCGTTTCTGTGCGTTGTTTTTCACTATGATTCTTCTAAAAGTCCCCCGGTCCTACAAGGAAGAATACGGAAACGCTGGTCAGTGTGGGGGAGCGCGTGCTCGGAGCACACAGCCAGCACCGGACTGCGGGCGGCGGCAGCAGGCACAGCCCGCAGCCCCTGACTGCGGAGGCTGCACTACAGGCCACTACATTCATTCTGAAGTCCAAGGTTAGAAATGTGTCGTTTAAAGTGTCATTTACACTTTGGAATATTTCTCCATTATCTTTAGAATTCAGCTTCTACACGTTTTCTGGGCCAACCTAGGCCAGAGTGCAGCGGAAAGAGCAATCCGGACAGAAAAGAGGAAGGCATTGTCCAAAACAACATTTTCAAAAATCTATGTGACGAAATGTTACAGAGGCCGCGACAACAGCAACAGCAAACATTCCAGCCGGAGAAAAGCCAGCTGTGCCTTCTAATGCGACTGTATCCACGCCCACCCGCTCCCCTGCTTTCACTTCCCGAACATCGTCTGTGCGAGGCCGATCCTGGGACACACCACCAGCTTCCGGGCCTTCCAAAGGGGGGAGGGGACACTCCCCTGTGAAGTGGCCGCTCCCTCAGGCCACACGCTCAGAGCCAAGAAAATAACCCCGAGGCTCAGAAGAAAACAGAACCCCTGCCTCGCTGCCGCAGCGCAGCCGGACTGAGGAGCTCCCTGAGGAAGGCCCTAAGTCCTCCGGGAAGTGCTGGGCCTCCAGCCAGTCTGCCTTCCCCTCCCCTTCCCGTTCAGATCTCCCTGTTCGTTCGTCTGCGGTGTGACCTGTGGGTTTTAGTTTGAGAGAGAAGAAAATGAGGAGTAGGGTTATTCCACATTGGCTGGGCCAGCAGTTGGCATCAGTGCATTTACTTTGTTTACATAATTATTTAAATCTTCACCTAAGGATATGTTTTTATGGATTTTAGAAGGGGGAGGGAGGGGAGGAGAGAGCGAGAGAGAAGTCCATTGCCTCCTGTACTCATCTGGATCAGGGATCAAACTGAAAACCTGGGCATGTGCTCTGACCGGGAATTGAACCTGCAACTTTTCGGTGTATGGGATGATGCTCCAACCAACCAACTGAGCTACCCCAGCCAGGGCAACGTCAGGGCATTTTGTAACAGAGTTTATTTTCCCCAGATCACTTATTGACCTATCCTGGTTCTCCCACCGCTGAGTCCCACCAAAGTGTGTGATCAATTCTGAAGCCATTCTAGCATTCATCTCTCAGGATTTATTTTCTTAAATCACAGTAAAGTGCTCTATTATGTGTTTAAAATGTGATTAAAAAAAAATTATTTCATTTGAGGAATATGTTGAGGATTCTAGGGAATACACTTAATTCTGCTTGTAAGGTAAATAGAAACAAATTACTATAGAAGCCAATGTTTTAAAAGTGAAATATGAAGTATGTACAAGAGAATATTTTGTTAAGAAAGAAGAGAGGCCCAGCTGGCATGGTCAATGGTTGAGTATCGACCTATGAACCAGGTGATCATGGTTCGATCCCTGGTCAGGGCACAGGCCCAGGTTTCAGGGTCCATCCCCAGTGAGGCATGCGGGAGGCAGCCGACTAATGATTCTCTCTTATCAATGATGCTTCTATCTCTCCCTCCCTCTCCCTTCCTCTCTGATATCGATAAAATGTTTGTGTTTTTTTTTAAAGGAAGAGAGGCCGAAACCGGTTTGGCTGAATAAATAGAACGTCGGCCTGCGGACTGAAGGGTCCCGGGTTCAATTCCGGTCAAGGGCATGTGCCTTGGTCTCGGGCACATCCCCAGTAGGGGGTGTGCAAGAGGCAGCTGATCAATGATTCTCTCTCATCGATGTTTCTAACTCTCTATCCCCCCCTCTTCCTCTCTGTAAAAATCAATAAAATATATTTAAAAAATAAAATAAAAAGGAAGAGAGTTATAAATATTTTAAAGGAAGGTAGGTCATGTCTAATACAGGATACGGATCACAGCTGTGCTATGCCTAAGACATTCTAGGAAAGTTCTCTTCCCCAAAATATGGCCATCGAAATCTACTGGATATTGGCATGGACCAATGCACAGGCAGATGGCTGAACAGAGAAGAGTTAGTGCAGGGAGCGACAGGTGCAAAATGCTGCTGGCAGAGCTTCCAGTGACTTTAAAAAATATATATATTTTATTGATTTTTTACTGAGAGTAAAGGAGAGGGAGAAAAAACTAGAAACATCAATGAGAGAGAAACATCCATCAGCTGCCTCCTGCACACCCCCTACTGGGGATGTGCCTGAAACCAAGGTACATGCCCTTGACCAGAATCGAACCTGGGACCCTTCAGTCCGCAGGCCAATGCTCTATCCACTGAGCCACACGAATTAGGGCTCCAGTGACTTCTTTGCCCAGGCTGTCTCCAGCACAGAAAGCTGTCACTGCTCTCTTTCTACTTGTCCCAAAAAAATCACCAACAAAAAACGCACTAAGAGCTGACACGACTGCTTCTCCGCCTTTGGGCTGAGGTCAGCGCAGAGCTGACGTGACTGCAAGCTCGTAGGCCCGCCACCGCCCGGGGCTGGAGTAAATGGCTTCCTGACACACCACCTGGGAGAATGGAGGGCACGTTGGCACAAGACCTGGCGCAAGGCCTCAGACAACTGGCTGTCCACGCAGTGCTCGCAGCAGAGGATTCCCACGGGGCCGCGCAGGGGCCCTTCTCTACTCACCAGGCCCCACAGGGCGCCTTCCGAAGTGGCCACGATGGTGGCGGCCCGCGGGGTGTTGTACATCAGAGCGAGCTCCCCAAAACTTCCACGGTGGTCGTACTGACCGACAGAGCGGGTGACGTCATTGCTTGTTACCAAAATATCATACGTTCCCCTGAAAGCATAAGAAACAGCTTCACTTGTCAATGCTAACCGTGAATGAAAGCACGCAGGCAGCATAAGAACAGAAGGTAGAGACAAAAACATTGTCACAGGGATTCCCAACAGGTCTTTGTTTTGACCTGTATCCTCTGACCTTGCTAACCTCCATCGTTAGCTCTCGTAGCTTGTTGGTGGCACTTGGATTTTCTAGAGGGTCGTGTCGTCTGCAAACTGGGTTCACTCCCCGCCCTATCTCCATGCCGCCACCTGCCCTTCCCCCGCCCTCCGTCCTCACTGCACTGGCTGGACCTGCGTGCAATCTGGAACAGAGCGGTGAGAGCAGACTTCCCTGCTTTGTTTTCTGCTGTTTAAAGGTAAAAAATTCAGTTTTTCACCTTTAAGCATGAAGTTAGTTGTAGGTTTTTAAAAATGCCTTTATCAGGTTGGAGAGAAATCCCTTCTGTTCCTAGTTAGTGGAGATTTAAAAAAAAATATATATATATATATTTAAGAATATTGCTTTATTGATTTCAGAGAAGGGAAAGGAAGAATAAAACAGAAACATCAGTGATGAGAGAATCGTAGATCAGCTGCCTCCTGCATGCCCCCCACTGGGGACCGAGACCAAACCCAGGCCTGTGCCCTGACCTCCACGCTCAACCACTGAGGCACACCGGCTGGGCTGCGGAGTTTTTGATCAAGAAAAGGTGTTGAATTTTGTCAAGTGTTTTCCAAACTGCAGGTACTGAAATGATTGTACGGGTTTTCTTTCAGTTTGTTGAAAACTAGGATGTAGAACTGATTTAAGAAAAAACAAAAAACAAATACAATTTCTCTGTGGATTGATAATAAATGCTAAATAAAATATTCAGAAATGACAAGCATTTGGAGAAATATACCAAACATATTCTCTCAATATACCAGCGAGGCGAATGTACGTAAACATTTCAAATTTTCTGCAAGATAATTAACATCAGATAGCAAACTGCTTCAAGAGACCCACTGGCATAGCAATTCCATTTCTAGAGAGGATTCTAAAGAATATAATCAAAGACACTGGAAAATATTTAATTATAGGGTGCTCACCAGGTCATATTTATAACAGCAAACATTACAATTTAATCTGTAACCATTGGGGGTAGGTCAGACACATGTCTATGTTCACGTTGTACAGTCAATATAAACGATGACATAGAACATTACTGCATCCCATGGCAACTACTTAGGATGGATGTTAAATCCAGGCCACACACAACAGCAAAGCACACCAAGGTGAGTGTGAGGCGGACTGTCAGTTCTCAAGCCCCGCCCTCCGGTGCGCCTCCCTCCTCTCCCCGCTGGAGGCGCTGAGAAGAAAGCCGTGTGCGCCCTCCTCTGGCAAATGCAAGCACCGCAAGTGCCAGCCAGAGTGCCCTCACCCAGCCACCTTCTAGCCCCATGACAGTCCAAGCCAGTCATCTCTCCGCTCATCTGGGTGGGCTTCTTGGGGGCTTGCCTTGCTCTCCCTAAAGAGCCTCATTATGTGAATAAGAACCACCCCCCCTTAAAAAAAATGACCTCCAGTCTTTTTTTAAAAAGTGTTTTTCCTTATTTTTATTTATTTATTTATTTATTTATTTATTTATTTATTATTTTTATTTTTTTCTTTCTTTTTTTCCTTATTACTTTTTAGAGAGAGATGGAAAGGAGAGGGATAGAGAGAGAAACATCGATGAGAGAAATATCGACTGGCTGCCCCTGAATGCCCCTATTGGAGATGGAGCCCACAACTTGAGATTGAAAGATCTGGATGATAACACAGCATCACAGCTATTCTTCTGGAAATCAATTCCCCTGAACACTGGAAATAAAATGTTTAAAAAGCACATCCTGCCACCTAGCCGGTTTGGCTAGGAGGCAGAGCACCGGCCTGCAGACCGAGGCCCAGGTAGATTCCAGTCAAGGGCATGTACCTTGGTTGCAGGCTCCTCCCTGGCTTGGGCCCTAGTTGGGGCTCATACAGGAGGCAACCAATCGATGTGTTTCTTTCACATTGATGTCTCTCTCCATCTTTCCCTCTCTCTTCCACTCTCTAAAAATCAACGGAAAATTATCCTCCGGTGAGAGTTAAAAAATAGTAATAATAAGTAGCAATAATAAATAAAATAAGCAGCATATCTTGCCTTACTGTAAAGGAGACTTTCTACTGTAACAGTGGCCACCTACGCTGAGATCACTGAGGACTCGGGGCAGGAGGGAGGGAGGGGCAGGCTGTGGGCGGAGGGGCGGGCTGGGGGAGCTGGTTCACCTGCCTGCGCCCTCCCCCGCTGCACACGCACAGGGTGAGCACTCAGTCACACAGGGCAGCCGCCCACTGCGAAGCCCATGGCCTACCGTTCTATGACATAAAAGTTGTCTCCGTCATCTCCTTGGTCAATAACATGCTCACCCACTTTGACTACCTTCTCAAACATGGCATCGAGGACTTCCGAGAGCTGTTCCTGCAGGTGCGCACAAGGAGAAAAGACAGCGTTGACATTTACTGGGGGACGGGGGGGGGGCTATGCTTTCTCAGCGTGTGATCACATAGTGAAGTCCCCTCTTCCAGCAGGACCCGGGGGGCGCGCTGAAACACGTGCTTTCCTGGGCCCCGCAGCCTGCACTCCAGGGGCGTGTGCCCCGCGGGCTGCTAAGCTTCCTGGTGCTGCTTGGGAAGTGTTAACTGAAGGCCCCGCTGCACCCACAGAGCCGTCCCTGCCTGACGGCTCGCTGTGCCGCGTGTAAAATCACAGGAGGTCACCTCCTCGGTGTGGACGTACAGGACCATCAGATCCACGGGCTGGGAGGGCGTCAGAGGTTACTGCGGGAGCTGCACTGAGGGCCACACACATCCCCTCCGCTCTGAGCCTCAGTGTTTGCATTTGTATAAAGTGGCTCACTGGTTTCTAGCTTATCTCTTTTCTATGCCTAGAGGGGAAAAACCTAAGGGAAGTACTACATAACAGGAACTTAATGAATGAGATCTATTACCAGACAGCTAATATTGCCTCAATCATTTCTTTACAACACTTACAACTACTTACCAATATCCCTGCCATAACCAGAAGGAAACTGTACCAATAAGCATAATGGAACCAAACAATGCTGTTAAATTTTCACAAAACATTGGTCAGCGTCTGGGGCCTGTGAGTCAGGGAGAGAGGCTTAAAGAACAGCTTCCACTCAGAGAAAGGCTTTCCTTTGGAGGAATGTGGATTAACAGCCGGCCAGGGAGTACCTTCACTGCTGAACAATCCCGTGTGACTGACTGCTGTCAGTGTGACCGTGCCATGCCTCCTAGAATAACCGAGTCTCAGAGAAAGGCTTCTCTCCGTCCCACGGCTCCGTGTGTGCTGACACTGTGAGGCTGACAGTGCCAACAAGGAAGGCTCGCTCTGACCACATGGCTGGCAAACAGGGTGCTCTCCCCCGGCTAATGGAGTCCTCTGACTGTCACAGGTTCACTATGACCAGCCAGCTGCCCAGGGAGGCTGGGAGTGTCTTCAGGACTATTCACAGGAGCTGGGAGTGGGAATCCTAGTTCCATCCTTCCTGTGTCTCCATGGCCGGCTTCCCCGGAGGCCCAGCACCTCAGCCATTCCCGTGGCTTCGGCACGTGGCCCTCCACGCAGAGAAGGGAAGGGAAATGGAAGGCGCTCTGGGGCCAGGAGGTGGTCCGGCTCTCTCTCCACAGGCAGGGCGGAGGCCCGCGCAGAGATCCTCACCCCTGCGTGGCCCGGCCGGAGGTCTCAGGGAGAAGTGACCCCGGAGGCCCCCTGAGGTCTAGAAGCGGGCACACGCTCCGGGGCAGTGGATGCGGTGGAGAACGCTCGCTGGTGTCTTTGGAGGAACCGCCCGGGGGGTGAGTCAGGCGCTGCCACCTGAGCCAGGCCAGGCGAACCTGAGCACTTCCTTCGACGTGACCAGCCTGCAAGCCTGGAGGGAAGGCCCAGGAGGAAGTGCGAGAGCCACCGGAGAGGCTCACCCTGGTTACGGCGGTCAGCACAATGCAAGCATGTGTAGGTGAGGCGAGTCTAGAGCTTTATGCCTCACCTGGCTGTAGCTAAGACACTGAAAACTATTGTAGTTAAATGATAAACAGGAAAAAAGCTGGAAGATAAAAATATTTTTAAAACAATGTTACCTGATCAAGATTTCTGAAAAGGAGAATATCTTTGCAAGCTTCCTGAAGTCTGCCTCTCTGCTCATCAGTTTTAGGATAAACCACCTGCCAATACAAATAAAGCCAAGGGAATTTAAGTTCCGTTTTAAAACCTTACTTTGTTTACAAACTGGTGTATTTCTCTCTCCTAAAAAGCGGGAAGTAAAGGCGAGCAGTTTACTGTGCGTTTAACTCCTCACAAACACCCAGCAGCCTGACGGGGACGGTGTCTGACAGTGAAGAGCTCCCCTGGAGCCCCCCACGGGCTGTGGGCTGCCGGCCAGCCAGCTCCGCCAGCAGCCTCCGTGCCCCGCTGAAGCCGAGGGTACAGATTCGTTCATTCAACAAACATTAGGCATCTACGAGGTGCCAGGCATTGTGCTACCCCTGGGGACACAGCAGTGAACACAGACAAAAGCGTCTGCTCTCATCTGTCTACGTATACAGAAGCCTGAGTGACAGTCACCTCCGGCCAACCCAACGGCAGCTGAGGGGCCACTATGATGCACACTCACCACCAGGGGGCAGACGCTCAGCACAGGAGCTGTCCCTGGTGGTCAGTGTGCTCCCAAGCAGGAGGGCTGCTCAGCGGACAGGCAGGGCCAGATGCCGCAGGGTTCACGCTGGCGAGCACAGCGGAGACCACGCAGCGGCCGGCATGAGCAGGAGCAGCAGGCGGCGTCGGGCTGACCCCCGGTAGAGACACGAACCTCCGGAAGGAGTGAGGGGACCTAGACTGCAAGAGCCCAGGACTGCGAGAGGATGTCTGACTGCAGGCTTAGGCTCACTCCCCACTAAGCCAGCAGACCAACATCCTCCGAAGGGCCCCAGACTGCGAGGGCACAGGACAGGGCTGAGGGCACCCTCCCTAAGTGCGCGAATCTGTGCACTGGGCCTCTAGTTTTTTATATTTTCCAACCAATTAGGTTAAAAAAAGAGCACTGTGTTGAGATTTTAATTTGTATTTAGTTACCATCATGATTAGATTTGGTGTGCAGAGAAGAAGAGGAGGAAGCTGGGACGGAACCAACCCTACTTACTGCCCTTTGCTGCACATCTTACCCTTGGCTCTGTGTCCTCCTCTTCATCATCAGGGTTGTAGGCCTCAGCACAAACTACATTTGGAGAGAGAGAAAGAGCAAGAAAATGAATAAAACAACATGCACTTTTACTAGAAAAATAGGGAGTGAAAACAATTTTCTTTTCCTCACTGCTTGCTAAAACTGTCCTAACGTTTTAATCCCTTCTTTCAGTTAACAAAGGTATTGGATACCTCCTAACGCCAGCGATGCTGTTAGGTTCGAAAAGCCAGCTCTCTAGCGATTGACAGCTCCACACAGAAGAGATGATGACAGGGTAGGGTAAAAGGGCTCACAGTTGTTTGTATGGAAAATAATACAATTAATAAATAATAATACAGGATTAAACTGTGTTTCGAGTCCTCACAGCGGTATGCCTACTTCTGCCCCACCCTGTTACCATCCATTAAACCTGACGGTAGTGGTGAGGACACGCAGGTGAGCTACGAAGCAGGGGTGGAAAACCACAAAGTACACGACACGCAACATACACATCTGGCTACGGAGTGATTATGAGCAGAATCAGCTGGAGTAACTCACACGGACGGCTTACAGGCGTCCTCAAACTTTTTAAAGTGGGGGTCAGATGACGGTTCCTCAGAGAGCTGGAGGGCCGGACTATATGAACTACTAATTCCTACTGTAACACCTCGGCTGCGCTCACTGCCCAAAAAACCTGGCGGCCGGATCAGACTCCTCTGCGGGCCGCATGTGGCCCGCGGGCCGTAGTTTGAAGACACCTGGTTAGGAAATGAGGAGGAGCCCGGCCAGGTGGCTCAGGGTTCGGTACCCAAAAAGGCGGGGTTTGACCCGGTGGAGACACGAACCTCTGGAAGGGAACCCACTGACGTTTCTCTCTCTCTCGTCGATAAACATACCCTTGGGTGAGGATTTAAAAAGAAGAAAATAATAAAGTTTAGACAAGAGAGACACTGTGTCAGCTCTGCTCTAGGACATGACATAAACGTAATGCATGGTGACCCGTTTAACGGATAGAGCGTGGGCCTGTGTGTGCACTGCCTGCAGCACTTGTCTTTGTCGGAATTCAAAGACGCGAGGACGCTGCCGCCATCTGGTCCCTCAACCAGCGCGGGCGATGCTCTGCAGGGGGCTGTCCAGCCCGCGCCTCAGGCTCTGGGTGGCTGAGCCAGAGCCGTGAACAACTGGATGTGGAAATGACTCCTCATTGTTCTCCGAGCCGCTCGCTCCACACGCCCGCAGGCCGAGGCCAGGAGCGCCCAGGCCCCTGAGCCCCTCTTGGCACCGTCAGGGCGTCTGGGCAGGACCTGAGGAAGCTGCCCCGAGAGCGCCAAGCAGACGGCATGTTAGCCCGCAAGCCTCCGGCCGTGTCCTCAATGCTGCCAGCCCAGCCGGCTTTCCAAACGAGGGTTCACCAGGACTTCCTCTCCTCTCATCCCGTCTCCACCTCAGCTCCTCCTCTGCAGCCCTCTCATGGACCTTTATTCAGCCTGCCCCACTGCTCCTCCTTCGTCTTCACCTCACAAGCCCTGCGCTCCGGAGCCAGATGGGTACATGGGTATTACACTATGCCTTGAACAAAAGTAGTTATGTTCATTAAAATTATTAATATGTTTCTATTTGTGGAAAAATATTATGACTTTAATTTTCCAAACTGGTTCTGAATTTTTCCCCTTTTCTTCTAAACTCCCCCCCTTTGCCCTCTTCCTCTGTTTACACCCAGCCTCTCGATTTCCTGGTCCCGATCCCAAATTACTTCCCATTTTCTGTGTAGAAATCCACTTCTAAGTGTCCATGTGACTGTTCACACATCAGGAAGCTTGTCTCAGTGCACAGGCTCCCTGGGGGAGGCTGGATGGCCCTGTCTGCTGCAGCCTCAAGAGCTGAGCGCCGTGAGACGCTGCAGGCCCATTGAAAAGGAAGACTAGCCCTGGCCAGTTTGGCTCAGTGGACAGTGTCGGCCTGCGTACTCAATCCCCTGTGTGGGGCGTGCAGAAGGCAGCCGATCAGTGATTCTTTCTCATCACTGATGTTCCTACCTCTCTCACTCCCTCTTCCTTCCTCTCTGAGATCAATAAGAAACACATCAGAAAGAAAGAAGAGGAAGACTAGCAGACAGTCCATGTCTGAAGGGATTTATCTGCCAAAGGTCCCCAGCAGATGCCACTGGCCAGCAACGTGAACCCGTACAAAGCGACATGAGACTATCCAGTGCAGTCTTCTTCCAAACTGAACTGGTGCTGCCTTCACCCAGAATGTGACTCATTAAAATGTGCTGGTGGCCCCGACTCGGTTGGCTTAATGGACAGAGCGCCAGCCTGTGACCTCAGGGTCCCGGGTTTGGTTTCAGCCAGAGGCACATTCCCAGGCTGCGGGTTCCATCTCTAGTGGGGCCTGCAGGAGGCAGCCAATGATTCTCATCCTCGAAGTTTCTCTCTCCTCCCTCTTCTTTCCTTTCTGAAATCAATAATAAAATATAAAAAAATAATAACACATGAGTTGTTATTTTTAAAGTGCTTGTGAGAGGAACCTGCACGATACAAAGAGCACTGGTCCTGCTCACAAGCCCGAGCCCCGAGCTGGCCCGCCAGCGGGCGTTCTAGTCTGCGTGGGCGGCCAGAACGACCACCGCCCGGCAGCTTAAACAACGAAGTGTGTTTCCTCCCGGCCCAGAGGCTGGAAGGCCAAGATCCAGGCATTGGTTCTCCTGAGGCCCCTCTCTCTCCTTAGCTTGTAGCTGGATGCATTCTTTTTCTTTTTTATTTATTTTTATTTTTTTATTAAATTATTTTCTTTGTACATATACCATTGCCCCCCCCTGCATTCTTTTTATTTTTAAAAAATTTTATTGATTTTTAGATAAAGAGAGAGATCAGTTTGCTGTTCCATTACTGGTGCATTCATTGGTTACCTCTTGTGTGTGTCCTGACGGGAGATCAAACCCGCAACCTTGGCGTATGAGGAGGACGCTCTGACCACTGAGCTCCCAGCCAGGGCGATGCCTCCTGCTGTCCTCACATGGCCCCCCTCTGAGCTGGCACTCCTGGTGTCTCTCCCCCCACCCCCACCCCGCCTTTCCCTCCCCTCCCCTCCCTTTCTTTCCTTACCCCCCTTTTCTCCCCCCTTCCTCCCTCCCGCATTTCCTTCCTTCCTTCCTGTTTTGTTAATCCTCACCTGAGGGTATTTTTCCATTGCCCTTTTTTAGAGACAGTGGAAGGGGGGAGTAGAGACAGAGGGGCCGGGGATCAAGCCTGCAACCTTGGTCCATGCCCTTGGCCGGAATCGGACCTGGCACCCTGCCGTCTGTGAGCTGCCACTCTAACCACTGCCCCACCGGGCAGGGCTCGTCCTGTGCTGGTAAGGACGCCTGTCCTACTGGATTCGGCCTCATCGTCCGGACCTCATCTAACCCGTCAGCCTCCTCCACGGCCGTCTCCAAGGCAATTACACTGGGATTGGGCCTCAGCATATGACTTGAGGGAGACACACGATCCATAACACCGCGTTTCTGTGTTATTGTAAGCAGTGTTTAGTAGTATTTCCCCGCACCACAGCGATGGATGGAAAAATACTGAGTGCTGTGAAGGATAGAAAGAAAAATCCCTGCATCTAAGTACACTGCGAGCACCTGAGCCTTACGAGACGGGACGGCTGGTCACAGGCACCTGCCCTGCCGCACTGAGATTCCCAGCGGCCTCTCCTGTTGGCTGTGCCGGTCACCACCAGACGCAGACGCCTGCCGCCTGTGGCCTGAGGCCCCGCACACACATGCCACGGAATGGGCTTTGGAGCGTCAATACACGTCCAATCAGAGAGCGGCGGTTTTGGATGAAGTTTTTTAAGTGAACAGAATCAGACTAACATGTCAAAGGCAAAGACAGTTCACATAACTCAGGATCATCCCAGATAGCGGCCTCCGAAGAATTCATAAACTGCTCATTCAAGTCGAGACTGTCCTGCTAGGGCTGGGAGGCACTGCTCCTCACCCCCCCCCACTGTCTCTCCAGGGCCCCGTCCTTGGACTCTAATGATAAAACGGGGCGATAACACTGGAACCCGAAAAGGGTGAGTGATGGGGGGCGGGGCTCAGGGCCACTCAGTACCCGCTCGGTCGGTGCTGCTTCCCACTCCATCGCTGTGTCCGACGGCCGAGCCGAGCTCAGGCCCTCACACACTCCCACGCCCCACACGGCTAGTCTGTGCCCAACCCGCACCTCTGCTCCCACCGTATGTCACCTCCTTCCCCGCCTTCAGCCAAGCGGCCAGGCCCAGCTCCCCCTTCGAGTGTCAGGACACTGTCCCAGCCAGGCGCCTCCCTCGGGCACCGGCCAACCAGCGGCCTGTTCTCCATTTCCCGGCGCGTCTGCCTCCCTCCCGGGGCCCCCTCGGTGCGTGCCGAGGTGCGGCTGCAGTCCCTGACCACAGAGTGGGGCGTGAGTGGAGAGGAAGTGAGGAGAGTGGGAGGGAGGCCGGGGCAGTGCGTGCCAGGGCTGGAGTGGGAGCTGAGGAGCCGGCAGGTCCAGGGACACAGACTGGCACATGAGGAAAGGCTGTCACAGAGAGCGTGACCACAGAGGGGGGCGGGAGACAAGGTCGCTGGGAGAGAGGAGGTCGAGGACCAGAGGGCAGCCACGTGGGAACACAGAGGGCCCAGCGTGAGGCTCGGCTGAGTGTCCCCTCTGAGCCAGGAGTCACTCTTCCATTCCCGGTCGGGGCACAGGCGGGGTTGCGGGCTCGATCCCCAGCTCGGAGTGTGCAGGGGACAGCCGATCCATGATTCTCTCCCATCACCGATGCCTCTCTCTCCCCTCTCCCTTCCTCTCTGAAAACAGTAACTATTTTTTTAAAGAAACGGGACAATGTGGGGATTATCAGATGAGTACTAGTAAACAAGGAGGGTAGTAGCTGGTAGAATATAACAATGAGAGCTTGAAGCCGAGAATTTTAGGAAGGAGGGGAAGAAACGGTCTGAAAGGAGCCACGAGCAGCACAGACCCCCGTCAGTGCTGCCGGAGGAGAGGGAACAGCCGCCTGGAGGAGCCCGAACGGCAGGCGGAGCTTCAGGCGGAGCACAGGAGCCGCTGTGCTCAGAGGACAGGCCGAGGACCCCCGGAGACTGCCCACGAGGGTCGCGGCGATGGAGGGACACTAACCAGGGCTCCGCTCCCTTGGGCACACTGTCGCCTCCACTGCTGCGAGGGGCTCTCTCTGCCTTGCTCCAGTCTCCGGCCTGTTCGATGGGGATAACCGTAGCACGCACCCACAGTGTTAGTGTCAGAGTTTATTCAACAACACAAGGCAGGCAGGCAAGGAGAGAGACCTCGAAGCCGTGCACCGAGCAGTCTGCATGTCAGCGATTGCTACAGGCTGCTTCCTCTCCTGCATAACCCTTTTAGAATCTTTGATTTTCACTTAACATTTGAATAACATTAAAGGTCTTCGATGTTCAGCAGGATTATGAAAGCTAAGGGGGAGGAATGACAGCATGTGCTGCCTGAGCTCCGCAGCTCACGGACCGCAGCACGCCGAGCCCAGCAGCAGTCCCTGGCCAGCCCCGCTGTCCTCCACCTCCCCCACCGTCCTGCAGAGGCCAAGCGACACCACTGATCTTTCAGGAAAAAGGGACGCAGGCAAGCACGGACCGAAATGGGAGATGACCCCTCACAGGTCTTGCACCAGCCTTAGTCTCTTCTCATTTCCTATGTGAACAACTACACGTAAGAACACCTTCTTCTAGCTCCTTCAGCAGACGTGGTGCACAATGCTATCAAAGGCTTTCTGGGGAAATGAGCAGCTCTCCTCAAAGAGAAGGATCCGAGGACAGAAGGTAAGGGGAAGGGTGGGGGACATGAAAGAACAAGGTGACATGTGCAGCCTGAGTGACAATCCTGAGACACTAACATCCCAACACACAGCCAAACTCACGTTACACTAACTCGCTAGTAAAAGGCCTTTCTCCAAAATAAAGCAGAGGAACTCTGGATGCACCCACAAGTCAAACATTTATTATACGAAAAACTTTGGGAAAATATATTGACCAGCTCTATGAAAACAGGGGGTATCCTTCCCACCTGGCAGGTGTGGCTCAATGGCTGGGTGTCGACCTATGAACCAGGAGGTCATGGTTGGATTCCCGGTCAGGGCACAGGCCCAGGTTGTGGACTCGATCCCCAGTGTTGGGTGTGCAGGAGGCAGCAGATCAGTGATTCTTTCTCATTATTGATGTTTCTACCTCTCCCTTCCTCTCTGAAATCAATAAAAAGATGTTTTTTTAAATGGGGAGGGGGGTTCCTTCTCAGCTAAGGAGCAATCCTGAAGAAGAATAAGAAAGAAGAGGATGTACAATATATATCCAGCAAATACTTGCTGAGTGCCTGCTATGTACCAGGCAGTTCAAGGTAACAGTTACGTAAGAAAAACTTTGGGTACATTAAAAAGATAACAAAAGTAAAATAAATAGCACAACCAATGTGAAAAACTTTGCATTAAAAATTTCAAAAGGTTAAAAATCATGACAGAAATTTACTCAAACTTACAAAAGTAATCTAGACCAGTGGTCGGCAAACTCATTAGTCAACAGAGCTAAATATCAACAGTACAACGACTGAAATTTCTTTTGAGAGCCACATTTTCTAAACTTAAACTATATAAGAAGGGAGATGGTTTTTAACTTAATGGGGGTCCTCCTTAGCTGGCCTTTGCTAAAAATGAATGGGGCCAAAGAGCCGCATGTGGCTCATGAGCCACAGTTTGCCAACCACTGATCTAGATCATAATAGATAAAAGATTCAAGTATTACCAAATTAGGGAAAATAAAAATGGGTTTCCCATGTTTGGGAACAACCAAAGGAGTGCCAAACAAAACAGCCGGAGGCACTGATTTCCCTCCGGCTGCAGGAGGGGGCACGTGTCCGGGAAAGGTCTGGGGGAGGAGGCACTGCTTTCCCTCCGGCTGCAGGAGGGGGCGTGTCCGGGAAAGGTCCCGCGGAGAGGCCTGTGCGGGCGCTCTCCCCGTGGCTGTTCTAACGATCTCCGATCTCCGGAAAGCAACACACAGAAAAGCGAAGGCAGCATATATATATACTCTGAACTGAAAATGAAATAGGATGAAAAAAATCAGAAAAATTTTGTAATGTTCTGAATGCTGTTAACTTTTTAAAAAATATATACTTTTATTGATTTTTTACAGAGAGGAAGAAAGAGGGAGAGTTAGAAACATCGATGAGAGAGAAACATCAATCAGCTGTCTCCTGCACAGCCCCTACTGGGGATGTGCCCGCAACCAAGGTACATGATCTCAACCAGAATCGAACCTGGGACCCTTCAGTCCGCAGGCCGACTTCTACCCACTGAGCCAAACCAGCTAGGGATGCTGTTAACTTTTTATTAAAAAGAACAGTTTGTTTTTATTTACAATAACCCTTTCTTAAAACATAGCAGTATGTTTTGAAAGAGAACATATACCTGATACTCGCCGATTCTGTCTACTAGGAATTGGAACTGCAAAAGAAAGAAGAAACAACATTTATTTAGTCATCATAATATCATATGACCCCATTTTATCCTCCCATTTTGCAAAGATCTTTGACAACAAAACTAGGAACCACAACACCAATAATGGGTCAATTCACACTCTTCCATAATCAACCACAGACAGTTCAGCATGATAAAATAAAGACAATATAAAGGAATACAGATGATGTTTTATAGAATTGTATCCCTGAAACCTATATAATTTTATTAACCAATAACAACCACCCCAATAAATTCAATTAAAAAGACAATATAAAGAATAATGTCTCTTTGAAAACAGGCTCTTTATACCTTCATTGCACTTAAAGGTGACAATTTTTATTTCTGCTCACATCCACATCCCATCTAATTTACATCACACCAAATGAATAAGAAATCTACCAAATGTATTGGTAATGTTATCACAACAAATAGTTAAGTGCTTTCTTTAATATTCTTTAAAAACAATCCCAAGACCTGCTAGATAGTAGCATTTGTTTCATCTTCAAATAATTTAATGAGTATTACAAGAAAATGAAAAATAAATTAACCATTAAGTCACAGTCTCAATTATGGGAGGATTTTCTCCTGCCCATGGTTAGTGAAAAGAACAAAAGAACCCACGCATTTTTATCTTTGCTAATTTTTTCTATTTTTCACTTGTCATTCCTGTTTGATGGTTACCTAAATTCTCACTACTAAACTATATCATCTTAATAAGCCTTTTTTTAACCTTCAAAGCTTAATCTAATTATCTCTGTGTGTTTTAGTCTTCTTACCTTCCAAAAATAAGAAATTTGAGTATTTGTGAAAAACCAATTACAGGTAGCTTAGAGAGCCTAACTCAACTCATGTGCGGTCTCTGAGACCAACAGACCCAGGAAGGAGGCAAATGCTGATCCTACTCCAGTGGCTGGCAAACTCACATCAGTCAACAGACCAAACATCAACAGGACAACGACTGAAATTTCTTTTGAGAGCCAAATTTTTTAAACTTAAACTATATAGGAAGGTACACTGTCATTAACTTAATTAGGATACTTCCTAAGCTGGCCTTTGCTAAAAATGAAAGGGGCCAAAGAGCCGCATATGGCTCACGAGCCGCAGTTTGCCAACCACTGTCCTATATACCAAAAGCCATAGTATAAGTGTCCAGTCGACTGGTTGGCCTTTCAAACTATCAAAGCATACTATGCTAATGATATGCTAAAGCCACTCAATCACTCGCTATGATGTGCACTGACCACCAGGGGGCAGACAGTCTACCATGGGGTCCAGCTGATTGGGGCTGAGTGAGATGGGCTGGACAAGCCCTGGAGCTCTCCCTCGGTTGGCCAACCTCTGGAGTCTCTCCCCAGCCAATGGTGCACCAGTGGGGTCCCTCAGCCTGGCCTGCACCCTCTCACAACCCGGGACCCCTTGGGGGATGTCAGAGAGTTGGTCTCCGCCGGAGCCCGCAGGCCAAGCGGGGGGACCCCACTGCTACACGGATCCATGCACCAGGCCTCCCGTTTACTGTAAAGGGTTAGAATTAGCTTTCTGCTCAGCACGGGGTCAAAGTCAAGTTACTGGAACAAATGGGGGAAGAAGGAATCAAAAGAAAGCCCCCGTCATTACTGGCAGAAAAGTCCCTCTCTGCTTCTCCAATGGAACAGCAGATCAGTCACAAGGAGATGACACATTCAGCTCAAGTACAGGCTCTGTGTGCCCTGCACTGCGTAGACCATTGGGAGACCAGTGAACGAGGAAACGCTCCTGACTTCATGGAGCTCGCGTTCCAGTTTGATGGCTACGGTCAGGTTCCTTGATCATTTGGAACAAAGTGCCTGCCACTCAGGGAGAGAGGTGGAATGAAATGCACATCAGCCTAAGCTCTCATCCCAGGCCTTCGGGGTTTCCGTGATCAAAGCCACGAAACATTAGGACACAACCTACAGTTATAACCCACACTCTGAACTAATTCAGTATGGGCGCTATCAGAGGCTACCTCAGACAAAGAGCACAGAACTATTATAAAGTAACAACAGTGTGTTTAAAACAAAGACATAAACATCTCAAAAGCATAGAGAATAAGATACAACCAAAAACAACCAGGAAATTTGAAAACACACACACACACACAAAAAAAAACAAATAACAAAAAAACCCCTGAACATCTAAGAGAAAAATAACAAGTCATTGAAATTAAAAACTATAATGCAAGGCATATTCTTAGTATATAACACCTTAAAATGCTGAAAAATCCAAACTGCAAAATGATATCATCTTATTTATAGGAAATTTTACAGAATCCACAGACATGATAAAATTTTACTTTTATTCTGTTGTCAAATCATATTTCATGTAACTAATTCAAAGGAAATGAAATCTATGCACAGCCATTATTATTTTTTTACTGATTGATTTTAGAGAGAGAAAGGGAGAGGTGGAGAGAAGCATTAATTTATTGTTCCACTTATTTATGTATTCATTGGTTGTTGGTTTTTTGTTTTTGTTTTTTTTTTAAAGATTTTTAATTGATTTTTAGAGAGAGAGAGGAAGGGAGAGGAAGAGAAAAACATTGATATGAGAGTGAAACATCCATCAGTTGCCTCTTGTATGCACTCTGACCCAGGGTCAAGCCTGCAACCTTTGAACTGGCTCAACCAACTGAACCACACCAGCCAGGCTGTTGTTTGTTTTGTTTTGTTTTGTTTTGTTTTGTTTAGCTAGAGAGAGAAGGAGGGAGGGGGAAGAGAGAGACATCCATTTGTTGTTCCATTTATTTATGCATTCATTGGTTGCTTCTTGTATGTGCCCTGATCTGAGATCCAACCCGTGACCTTGGTGAACTGGGATGATGCTCTAACCAACTGAGCTACCTGGCCAGCCTACATGCATAGTCTTTAGCATAAACAATGTGTTAATATGAATAAAATTTTGTACAAAAAGATGAGAAAAAGTAATAAAATAAACAATGTGTTGAAATTCATTTAATTTGTTTCACACTATACTTAACTAGAATTTTTAAATGCAAACTTAAAATCACTAATTTCATATATCATGCAAAAAAGACAAAATAATTATATATATTTAAAATTTTTTTTATTGATTTCAGAGAGAGGAGAGGAGAAGGCGCAAGAGAGAAATCTCAGTGATGAGAGAGAATCATCAATCGGCTGCCTCCTGCATGCTCCCTTCTTGGACATGTGCCCTGACAGGGAATCAAACTGTGACCTCCTGGTTCATGGGTCACACTCAACCACTGAGTCACACTGCCAGGCACGAAAGTACTTTTTAAATTCCTAAAGCATTCCCTGCTACGGTGAAAGAGTCCAAAGGGTAAAAAAATAAGTTGAGTTGCAGTAGAAAATGTAATTAAAAACAGGCACTTGAGGCATTTTAGCTTGAATGAATGAGCGGATAAAAAGGTAAACGAATGGGTGAAAACACGCTGCCTGGGAAACCTGTTCTTTAATTCTAATTAGCACACGTCTCACAGATCTCCCAGGGCCAGGCCAGGCCCCTGCAGCTGAACAAGACACACCGGGCACACAGAGAACACAATCAAAGACCTCGACCGCGAGGCCGTCTTCCTCCAAGTTCACGGCCGCTGAGGGACTCGGAGAGCACATCCGCCTCTACGTGACTCAGATCCTCAGGCAGCACAAGCACGAACATGCTCCCAGCAGAAAGCAGTGCCTCACGCACTGAGAGCAGTCATGTGACACTCACAGCGGTGTGGCATACACCGCGCATCGCTGGGTACACCGCGCTCGTGGGAAGGTCGAGGGCAGGCAGGTCCCTGGCCTGCAGAAGGAAGGTCTAAGCATGAAGGCGAGTGCGCCTGTGATCCCGGGAAATAACAGGAGTGTGATGCGCACGTCTGCCAACAAGCACAGACAGGAGAGCCCACCGGTGAGCAGGGCACGGGGAGCCCGCAGCCGCAGAGACGCAGGAGCGATAAGCTGGTTATTTGTCTTTTCTTCCCCATTGGGGCGGAGAGCAGAAACAAAGCCTAAAGAACTCGACCGAGGTTCCCGGGGAGGTACCTGTAAACCCGGAAAAGGGAGGCTGACGGGAGAGGAACTAGGAGGAAGGAAGGCTCCTCCCATCCCAGGAGGGCAGGCAGGCGAGCCCTCCAGCCCGGACAGCTGTACGGCCAGGAGGGAAGGGGACCCCACAGAAGGCGCTGGAAGCGCTCCGAGTGGCCCGCTGGGGGGCGCAGGAGGCACCGCAGGCGGGTGCAGCCCTGCCTGCAGCGGGTGGCAGGGCTGAGGCGAGTGTGGCTGCGGACGGCAGGAAAACAATGGGTCCAGAGATGGACACCGTTTAGGGACAGGCTCCATGTTTCCTCACAAATGTCGAAAGATAAAATCACATCCTTACAAGCATTAGAGACAACATCTTCAATGTGGATAGCACTCAATCTATAAAGAAGGGTGCTGTCATAGGTTCCAAAATCACAAAATGTCGGATGGCCACGTATCCATAAAGTCATCGTTGTAGGATATACCTATTCCTTGGCAGCCCACCGAACGCAGCCGATGCTGCCAGTCTCCCGTTCACCGACGCCCCCTTCCCCTCATTACTCACATCCACTTCCTACAACTCCATCTGCTCTGCCTCCCACAGCACTGCCTGATCAGCCGCCTTCCCCATCTCCGTCATCCTGTCTGCAGGGCAGCCTTCTTCCCTACGGCTGGAACAGCCCCCGTGCCTCCCGCCAGCTCCAGTCCACGCTAGGAATGCTCTGCCTGCAGCCGCTCTCTCCCCGCTCCCTCTCCCTCCCAGGTCTCCTCTCGGGTGGTGGGGGCACAGCCTCAGCCGGCAGTCGGACATCCCTCTCCCAGTCCCCACCGCCTTGCTCAGGTAACGATTTCCAACGGGCCACCTTGTCAGGGGAGCCATGGCCGACCTGCTATGAGGCCAAACGCCTCACAGGCTCTGAGAAGCCCAGCCTTTCCTCTGAAGCAGCAGTGGCGGGTGCGAGCTGCATGACCAGTGGC